ACTTAAAAGCTTAAGCTAATGAATTCTAATTTAACTAGGATAGATTAAGTGCTCCAGACGGACCACACCACAATAAGGGCATCCTTTCACATGAGGCGTGTTGAGCGCGTAGATCCCGTGGTCCCGTAGATTCTCCTCGGGAAAACACGCGATGATCGTAATGCTCCAAACGCAGGGGCTCGGGCGAGCAGGACGAACACGCTTATCGCGCTGTGCAGGTGTCGGGACACGGCTACGGCGCCGAGTACGACGTCGTTGGGGAGGGACACGGAGATGAGCGCACGACGTCGGATAAGCCTTTTCTTGTCCAAACATCGCTTTCCTCGTTTCCTGCAGCAATGTCTCTTCAGTGGTTTAGAAGACGCCCAGTAAAGTCCTCTCCCTCTCTCTATCTCTTTCTCTCCGCGTGCTTCGTTGACCTAAAATCTCTCTCCGACGAAGCTCAGGTTCGCTTTCCGAGTTCCAGATCTACTGGTTTCGACCCGCAATCTCGCGAATCCGAGGTAAGATCTGATGTGCTTGCTCCGTTCCTAGTCGACCCTTTGGCTGTCTTGGGTCGTGTTTGATTTCTGCAAATTGGTTCCATCAGGAAGTGTTTCCTGCTTGTAATACGCTGTTTCTTGATCTGGGTTTGCTTCAGATCTGTCTGTAAAGGCCGAGACGGGCTCCGACTTGAGGGTTCGAGGGACGACCGGCGTTCGGCTTCGAGGGTTTTGGGTGTTGATTGATGATCTGGTTCCAGATCTGGACTTGACAAAGCTAGGCCGATCTGTTTTCTTGGAATTTGGACGTGGGAAATGTCGATGGTGCTGAAAGATGAATCGATTCACATCCGGGAGGTGTGGAACGACAACCTCGATGATGAATTCGCATTGATCCGCGAGGTCGTGGACAGGTTCAATTACGTCGCGATGGATACCGAGTTCCCCGGGGTTGTTTCTCGTCCGGTGGGGAATTTTAAGAACATCAGCGATTATAACTACCTGACTTTGAAGAATAACGTGGATATGTTGAAGTTGATCCAATTGGGTCTCACGTTCTCGGACGAGAACGGGAACTTGCCCACTTGCGGCACGGACAAGTACTGCATTTGGCAGTTCAATTTCCGCGAGTTCAACGTGACCGAGGACATGTTTGCTGGCGATTCGATCGAGATGCTGCGCCAGTGCGGTATGGATTTCAAGAAGAACAATGAGAAGGGAGTTGACGTGAGACGCTTCGGTGAGCTCCTGATGTCCTCTGGGGTTGTTCTAAATGGTGATGTTAGCTGGGTTACCTTTCATAGCGGGTACGATTTTGGGTACCTGCTTAAGTTGTTGACTTGCCGGAGTTTGCCCGATACGCAAGTGGGGTTCTTCGATTTGATCAAGATTTATTTCCCCATGGTGTACGACATCAAGCATCTGATGAAGTTCTGCAACAGTCTTCACGGCGGCTTGAATAAGCTTGCCGAATCGTTGGAAGTTGAGAGGTTTGGCGTGTGCCATCAAGCCGGGTCTGATAGCTTGCTCACAGCTTGTTCTTTCCGGAAGTTGCGGGACAGTTTCTTCAATGGCTCCACCGAAAAGTACGCTGGTGTATTGTATGGCCTTGGTGTCGAAGATGGACAGAGTACTAATTAAATGAAGATAGCTTGGGAAAGATTGGATGAATATTTGTAGACTACTTGCGTGTGAGAGTTCTAGTTCTCTTTGTAAACTTTGGCTAATTGTTATGTTAGTATGACCTGCTTTTAAGTTTGTATGCTCTTTAAGCTGTGACCAAAATCTCGAGTTGCTTTAGCTTGAGCTCTTGTAAATTGTTGCAATTAGTCTTCTAATAAAAGCGTTCACAATTCCTTCTTATATCGACTCTTCACTCATTGTTCTGCTCATGCTCGTACTTTATCTCATTTCACCTGTTATTTTGGTGTAATGAATCGTTAATAAAGAATGTGTTAAGTTCATAATTTCTGGCTGTTAACTTCCATTTAAATTCATCAGTTCGATTAATCTGGTATCCTTTATTTTGATTTCCTGACATGATGATTTGATGGCAAGTTATTAATTAAGTGTGCCGAATAGCACATTCTAGTTACTCCATTGAAATGTGGAAAGTACAGTTTCATGCTTTCATTGTTTGCAGAGCTTCATAACACTACAGTTGTGTACATTTGCTTTTGCAAACTTTGGACCATTTAGTGGCATTATTACAAGCATCTTTGATTAGTGGCTAATTCGAGTCTACTTTGCAACCATATTAGTTTCGCTTCAGTTGTATTTTCCCAGTTGATTATGTAAGAGAGTCGTGGCAAATCAGACGCTTTATGTGTGCTGCCTAATTGTAAATTTTTTGCACCGTTGTCTTGGTCTATTTGAATGACAATGTCAATTGAAAGTGTCTATGGCTTATGATTAGTCGAGCTTTATCTGTGCCAGAGGTGCTGCAGATGCATTACTGGAGACTTTGCTGGATAACTGTGCTATAGCTGGAATCGACAGACAGAGTTTTTCCATCTAGTGTCCTCTGGCTTATTTTGGATCGATTCCAGCAGCTTGGTGCGCCCATTCTTCAACCTTTTTATAGGTGGATAGACTATTATTTTTCCTTCCAGCATCATTTTAATGGAATATGAGATGATGCATGTCAAATGGTGAGTTAAATGATTCTGTCATTAAAACTAAATGTTTATCTCATCCTTTTGCTGATATGCTGGGTGTGGAGAATGGATAGAACGCTAATTGAAAAAGAATATATGGGGAGAGATTGATGAATGTCTGAGGACCACTTGAGTGTGAGGGTCATAGTTCTCTTTGTAAACTTGGGCTAATTTTTTTGTTACTATGATCTGTTTCTCAATCTGCATGTTTTCTAAGCTGCAACCAAATTCTCAAGTTGCTGTAGCCTGAGCTCTTTATTTGTTGTTGCAATCAGTCTTTTACCTTAGGTGCTTGCAACTCCTTTTTATGTTGACTCTCTTTTCATCCTTGTATTCGTGTTCATGCTTTATGCTCATCTTTGCATCACATTACATACTGTTTGGGTATATGAGTCATCCATAAAGAGCTTATTTTGGGTTGCAACTATTATCTTCCGTCTATATCCTGAGGCATGGGTGGTTCTAGTATACTTGGGTTGCTTAATTTTGTTACATGATAATTGAATATCATGAATAGAGTGCTGAATTATTACGTTCAAATGTGCAAGTATGGACCACAAGTGATGATGGCCTAGTGGTAAGGGCATTAATTTCACAAATGCTAGGCCCGGTTGTTGAATTTGCTTGCGGTAGTATGAGTGGGTATATCACTTTGTTTGAATGGATTCTGAACCTGTAACTTCTTGGTGGGGCTAGGGTGACAGGATCTGCCCACCTCGGATTGATGGGTCACAAATGGGGCCAAGTCACGACCTGCAAAAATTTCATAGTGAGATAATGCCCAGAGACAGTAGACATGCAGGTTGTCCCTCCTTGCACATTCTGGATTGGCAAAAATAAGTAAGCAAAAATGTGGCAAGTAGAAGGGTTACACTGGTGCTTGTATCTTGATCAACCAAATTTTGCATGTATAGTAGTATTGCTTTTGCAACATTTGGACCATTTAATGGCATCATCATAAACACTTCTTTAATTGGGGCTCATTTTGTTTTTGGGCATTGATCAGTGATGAATAAATTTCTCTGCACAATACTACTTTTTGGTTAATTGAATCTATTCTCTGTTGATTGTTTAAGAGAAACTCGTGACAGATAGCTTCATGTTTGCTTTTTTTCTTCTTGCATGTACATCTCGGTTTATCTGAATAAAAATCTGTTTGACAGTGGTTATGGCATTTGTAGAAGGTACTGCAGATGCATGACAGGAGATTGCAGTAGATAAAGTGTGCTCACTTGCTGAATTAATCAGAGGTGTATCATCTTCTGGCTTATTGGGATTGATCCAAATCTGCTTGATACAACCATTCTTCAACTTTTCAGGTATGTATGCACTATATATACCTTTTCCTTCCGCTATTATTATAAAACACGATGTGATTGAGATGATGCATGTCAAACTGAGGAGAGAATGATTCCTTTCACTGGCGTTAACTGTTCCACGTATCTGTTGGCTAATATGCTGCATGATTCATTTCGTGTTTTACCTTGACCAGTTTTAGTTCCCTTCCCTCCACAGTCCTTGAACTGCCCGTGTTGTTCATTAATCTTCAAGCCTGGAGAACTATGAAAAATCACTCATTTTATTTCTAGTTCCTGGTGCTTGCTTCTGTGTTTCTCAAGTTTCTTGCTTAGCTCAATTGTGAACCGAATTTGTTATTCACTAGTTCTCTCGCAAATTTGCTCAGTTCTCTGCTTTTCGATATTGTCAGTTATTGAGCTTAACAATTTTGATCTCACTTCCAACCCTTGGATTTTACACTTGAAAGATTGAGTACATGGAGTCTGTTGTTCACTAATAGCACCCGAACTACATGATTCCTCTAGCTATGCAAAAGTACCAATTGCCTTAGTTTGTTACACAATTATATCATCCTTTGGTCAGCAACTAATCCTTCAGTTCTCGTGCTCTACGATGCGAAAAAGAGGGAGATGCTACTACATCATTATTTCTTATGGTCTCCAGTGTTCATTGATAGTTGTTGAAATAGGCAATCCTAGATGATTGAGGGAAAAAGCTGGTTGCATAACTCAATGAAAGGAGTCTATCTGAGCAATCAGAAATTGAATTGAAAGGTAGATACACACACACACACAAATGCTCCCACTTTCCAATGATTTGAACAGAATATTCTCGGAGAAAATGAACATTTAAGATGAGAGATCCGAGAATTTTTCCTAGAATTATTGTAAAGTTATCTGTGACAAAGGGAATAATTTGAACAATTTCAAACGAATTAAACGCACCTATTACTATCGTCACATGCCGGGAACAGTCTTTCAAAGTTCATCGGCGATCCCAAGCTTTTGAGGCTGTCATCAATAGAAGGGTAAGAAGCAAACATGTTAGGACCAACATGTGATTACTATGTGTCAGGAACATCAGAAGAATAGAAGGTGATTTCATTGGTACCTTGTCTTGAGATAATCCAGTTCTTATCCTGGCCGAGAGCCCAGAAGAAGTACCCACCCAAGCCCCGAGACCTTGCAAACCGGACCTTCCTCCGCGCAGACCGAACATCGTCATAACCAATCCAAGAGACTCCAACATATGAGTAGTACGACACTGACTCCTCGTCGAATTTGACTGTCGTATGGTTCTGAAGATTGAAATCAACAATCTGACTGTATGTCAAGACACCATCTCCAGGACCCGTCCCGACAGCTGGGGCCCCGACTTCATTAACATTTGGATTCTGGAGCGTCCATGTCCTCCCGTACAACGGTAGGCCCATCACCAGCTTTCGGGGCGGCACACCAGCTCGAATCCACGAACTGATTCCATAGCTCGTGCTGATGTTGCTCTTCGAATCATAGAGTGCCGACTGCTCGCCCGTGAAATTCTCCCACGACCCGTGATAGTCAAAGCACATGGGGCTGACCCAGTCCACATGCTTCCGGATCGCCCGACTGGGGTACGATCGGGGTGTCCCGAAAACCTGAAATGCTGATGCATAGTACACGGCAGATGTCAGTAATAAGCGGCTTTTACCACATCTCTTGGACTCGTCAGCCAGTGCTTTTCTCCACTCTTTGTAAAGCAAAGCAAGGTTCGACATGTCTTGTTCATCCGCTGGAAACTCCCAGTCCAAGTCAACCCCATTGAAACCGTATTTTCGAGCTACTTCAATGGTGGAGTTTATGAATGCTGCACGAGTTTCTGAGCTGTTGGCCATCCTGGAGAACACATTCGGGTCTGACCCGCCTCCTCCTATGGATAGGAGGGTCTTGACTGCCGGCTTTCGCTTTTGCAGCGTGCCCGTGAATACAGGCAGCTTGGTTTGGTCAGATGCAGTGACGTTGAGCCTGAACGTGGTCGGTTTGGGCAATAGGAACGCATAGTAAATGTGATTGAAATATGAGGTGTCTATGGATGATGCAGGGAATTCATCAGACGACGGCCAGTAAGCTGCTTTGATAGCCCGAGAGGGCGGAGCTCGTTTGGACGGGTGGTGGATTGGGTAAACGGGCTTCCAGGGCTCCAGTTCGGGACCTGTCGAGGCCCCACATCGAGCAATTACGCCGTAGGCCGCAAGAAGCATAAGCGACAAGATTATTCGTAGACCGGCCATGCGTAACCAAATCAAGATGAAACACTATAAAAGAAAGGATTCCGGGTTCGAATTCGAAGACAAGAAACAAAGGGTATTCGTACAAAGTTCGCAGCAGCTATGTTAAAATCGAAGTCTCATGTCGGGATGTGAGGTATCTGTCAATGTTGGAAGCGTCATTCCTGATAAAGAAAAACAGTTGGAACTTCGAAAGTGTAGGAATCAAAGACTGCTTAAGAAACGGCCAAACTTAATGGAAACAAGAGGGCCGAGCATGTTTGGACAGAATTGAGTCTTGAACGGTGATTGCTTGACGATCCCACTTCTTCTCTTTGCGTCCATATCTTTCTCAGCATTTATCAAAATCAGACTTATGAAGCAGGCAATCTCCTTCGACCCAGAGCCACAATGTATCGCCTCGCAATCTCTTTCTCAATCAAAGCCTTATACTTCAAGTTAGATGTTTACACGATTTTTGATCAGCTGGTTTGACCAAGGTTTTTTACGCGAAAACTCCGGCGACTTTGGTTACTGGACAAGCAAGCATACTTTGCAGCCAATCTGCATGCAAGAAACTTCAATGCTGTGTGATCCGGAGTTCACTTCAGCTAGAAGCTTGCACGTTCTCCTGTTCAAGAAAATTCAACCTCCCATGTGACCTGGAATTGTCAATGCAGCAGGAGATGAGATGCAAACTTTGTTAAGAAACCTACAATCACTCTTATAATTAGATTCCGGTCTATACCGGAGCTATCGACAACCCTTATCTCATTAAGTACGGTACATGAATTCTATTATCATGAATCGTGCCTCCATCCTCTGATCACGTACAACATAATGGTTGTGACGTCGAAGTTAAACTTAGATGCGTTAATCGATGTGGCTTTGTTTTATCTGGTAATTGAAGTAAAGGAAAAATTACTTTCCATTTCAAATATTTTACTTGAAAACATAGGTCTCTGCTCCGTTAATTCCTAAACATATGATCATATTCCATACTCTTTTCATTTTTGCTCCTAGTAGTATCCGAGTATCTTGAGTATGTAATTTTATCATCTGTAGATTAGTTTCTTTAATAATTTGTAGCTATTATTCCACTTTATGAAAGAAAAGTATTTCCTCCTGATTAGAGGAAGAGAGCCATTGTGGTGGTGTGCTTTTACATGCAGTGGCCTTGATTTTTTTTTTTCTCGTTGTTTTTATATTTTTATGTATTTTAGAATTGCATGTGGATCACATTCAAGCAAGTAATCCACTAATCAAAACTGGTTGAAAGAAAACATGTACCCTTAAAAAAAATTGATTTGATTGTCACCTCAAAATGACCCTCTACATTGGTAACCTTCGTCTAAGTAGATTATGACCCATGACTCCATGAGACACTTAGATTACTGGGAAAATTACCAAAAAAATCTTAAAATTGTTGCACTTGTGCCATTTCAGTCCTAAAATTTTAAATATAGAAGATTTAGTTCCGATCATTTCGACAATTTGCCAATGTAGTCCTTCTAGTCAATTTGGTCGGAAGTGCCATGTAGGACAGCCGATACTGAGATGAACAATTTTTACAAATTTTTTTATTAAATTTTAGATTTTCTTTTCTTTTATTTTTTCTTTATTTTTCTTTTCTTCTTTTTTCATTATGGTTGTTGAGCCTCACCGAATGCGGGCAAGGGCGCAAAGGCCCTCGCCAAATCTGGACAAGGCAACCGGCGAGGCCATGATGGCCTCACCTAAGGCCTCCATGGCCTTGCCAACTGTGGGCAAGGACGCGAAGGCTCTCACCAACCACAAAGGCCCTACGTGAGGTCATTGCGGGCTCGTCGGCTGCCTTGCCCAGATCAACCCTTGCCGGCCACAATGACAAAAAGAAAAATAATAAATAATTCAAAAAAATTATTAAAAATTTGCAAATTTTGCCGATCGTGCCATGTAGGATGGACGGCATCCACATCAACGATTTCTAGCCGAAATTTGTCGTAAAGTCTATATTAGCAAATTATCAAAATGTTTATGACTAAATTAGCCAAATTGAAAGGTTTACAACTGAATTGGCAAAAATACAATAAGTTTATGACTTCTTTGATAATTTTCCCTTAGATTACTTGGAACTACTCATCTAATATTGCAGCACCTGAATAAAGCACCACAGGAACTCTTGCAGCAAATTCTTACCAAAAAACACAAAAAATAATAACTCTTGCAGCAAAGACACATCCCTGGCGAGACTTCTCTACAATGAAATCCTCTATGATTTTCTTTATCTGCTTTTCGTTTCCCTCTAAGTAGAAGGGAATTCAAATCCAAACAGGTCGAGGCTCAATAAGATCGTTTAGGTGTACGAGTCGCCTCTCATGACGCATCAATTGAGTTCACACAAGACGACGTGCGAGAGTGTCGAAATCCACATCTATTAACCACTCTATTGTCACCCCGTCGAGCCTGATTGTGCGTTTTCTTCAAGTCCAAAATCGTAGAATTGTTGCCAATCGGTAATTATGCAAGGGCTGGACATTAGCCAAAACACATTGTATGTGGTTGGACTGAATAATGAAGCAGGCTACATTTCGTCCAACATTGTGAATGGTGGGTTGTTGGAACTCGCTATATATATCGACTATCTGGTAATAATGGGCCCAAGTTCGGTGGATGCCATTTGCACCTGTCACCACTTCTCATACCATAGGATGATTTATTAGGATTTTCTTAAGAATTTACGAGCTTTTAACGAGGCGCTAGAAACTAATAAACTATTGGCTTCAATGGTAAGGGAGTTTGCTCCTCTTCTCATGGTATTTTTGGTTCGAGATTTGTTGGGAACACTTCAGGAGCAAACTCCTGAATACACCAGACCGATGTGGGAACGTGCCCTTAAGATCGTCCGAGGAGGTGGACCAAATTCAGGTGCACGAACCTTGATCCAAAACACCACTCGACTTGCCAAATCGGAAAAAAAGAAGAATGAGGAGCACTAGCAGACTTTCCCACTAATGCCAATCGAGGAAGTTTCACGACTTACGTATTTGAGGTGTCATAAACGAAAGGATAAGCTTAGGAGTCACGACAAAAGTGGTGGTCTGACCAAATCTATTTATTATTTAACTAGCAATCTTGTTGCATGCTGATTGGATCCTCCAAAGCCAATCAATTGACCCGAGAACTAGGAGAAAGAAAAATAAGAAAAACAAACAAGAAATTTGAAAGAAAGACAGGCCAGGTGCCCCCAACTTGATCGTTTTCTACACCCTCTATATTTTATAGTGGGATGTGCATTTTGACCCATAAACCCTAGGCCTTCCACCCACTTGGGCTTACTTTAATATCACTTCCTTTCCTTGATTAGATTTAATTTAATGTTAATGGACTTATCTAGATTTGTTGGTGTACGATTTTTTGGCAAGAAAAAATATGTTATTTAACTTAGTCAGAGAAAAGCTAGTTGCGAATAATAAAAATATTCGTATGGGTTGGAGTAAAATTGCGAAAATTAATGATTACAAGAAATAAAGTTGTTATTTAGCACGCTTGTCATCAAGCTAAGTAGGGGGCTATGCCTCGTTACGTTTATCGGGGACAAGTGCACCAACTCAATTATAAAAAGTTTCCACTAATACATGCTCTCTTTTTTCTCAAATCATATTATTAATTTAATTTTGACCCCGCCGAAACTTTTAAAAGACAAATTGGACGTGATATATGGAACTTAACAAGCCCAAATTACTAGAAAAAAAATTGCAATATTTTATAAACCACCCTTCCCGAGTATTTAAATCCAGCAAAGTTCCTAGTTGAAATTGAAATCGTTTAGTCCCTAAATTTTTATTATTATGTAAATATCGTCCCTTGTAGTTCATTTTCGGATTACCTGAGTAGACTATATACTTACATAGTCATTTAGCTTGATCATGCTCAAAACTCATGATATTAATTTTTTCTGGCTTTAGTATCCTAGTTGTAACTTTCATTTAAATTGTGAGTCACATCTTAAGTACAAGAACATCGAGCAATTTTCAGCGTAAAATACGGGCTAAATTGCAAAATAAGTGACAGTTAAGGATCAAAATATTAAAAAATTGTCAAATTTGAGGATTGTGAATTTAACTTTTAAAACAATAAATAGCTTAACGTTCTTTTCTTTACTCATTAAAAAAATTAAAGCGCCCTAGTTTCACCAGCGATCCAATGAAACTCGTTGAATAAAACCCTTTTTCACAAGTGAAGTCCGGAATCGTTATCCCAAAAATAAAAAGCAGAAAATCTTTATAGGAACATTTGAGAGGCAACCATGAATCCTATGTATGGATTTGTTGAGAGACTCACATACACTTTTCTCACGATATATTACTTAATGTTCTGTTTTTTTTACCCATTAACAAGATTAAAGTGCTCTAGTTTCACCAATGATCCGACGATACTCGTCGAATAAAACCCTTTTTCACGATTGGAGTCCGAAATCATTATCCCAAAAATAAAAGCAAAATATCATTATAGGAACATTTGAGAGGCAATCATGAATCCTATGTATGGATTTGCTGAGAAACTTACATACACTTCATGCGTCATGAGCTGGTCGAGGGTGGGAAAGGAGAAGAAGAAGAATAAAGTCATTTCACATTGATAAGTTGATAATATTATAGTTTAAAGATATTTTGGGTGGGGAAGGGAGGGGGGGATTGGAACCCTGTGGGGCTTCCTCTTGGTTGGATGATCCAAAGCAGGATATGCTTGCCCGGACAAAGAGATCTCATAAAGAGATTTGGTTGTTCATTTTGATTAGACATGTAAAATTACTCAGCGAATCATATGAATTTGTTCTTTTTCAGCATCCGCCAATTAAAAAAGATAGAGAATATCATGTCTATTTTTTTATGCAGAAAAATGAAGAGAATCATGTCAAAACCCCCCACTCAAACCTCCTCTTCATCTCATTATTTTTTTCTCATGTGGTATTAGGGTTTGGATGAAAAGGGTCTAAAAAAATTGACATTTATTTTCGGGTTCACTGCTGGTGCAAAAGAACTAGGCGGCACGTACGGTATAGCGTAAATTCGTTAGCGAAAAAAAAAAAAGAAGTAGAATTTTTCAAAAAATTTAAATTAGTGCATATGTACAAGTTATTGATTGGATACAGCTTATGAAAGCTTCTTTTTTATCAGTCACATTATCATTTCATCTAACTCCCAAGGAACTGGCTGTGGACGCATACAAGAACACAAACCCCATACAAAAAGAAATGACATTTTAAAAGGACAAAGTTAGATTATACTCTGATCTAAGCGGAGCAACTTTAGAGATTTGATCATGTTAAACTAATAAAACAGTGAAGGGCAGCATTATCATTGAATGAGGGGACTCCACATCAGCTTCCCAATTTCTTTGTCGGCCATTTGTCATCGTCCCCCCCACCAATTCGTGTCAAATACGACAAAAAATATGGAGATAACACAATTGGGGTTTTTAATTAACCTTATTTGCCCTTAATATGGCAACACGAGGTTTCCTAGAAACCTCAATGCATCTTGGGATTATGCAAAAGATGGCAATTTCTTGATCACGAGGGATTTCATTCCCATTTATTGGTGGACACCCAGACATGTGTTGACCAATGATACAACTTAAGACCAAACCAAAACATAGAGAGAAGAAGAGAAAAAGTTGTACAACTCAAGCCAGCAGAGACATAGCAATAAGCACCTCCTGAATGATACATATCCTCACCATACAAAGAATAAAGAGATTATCTATAATATATCATCATCAGTAC